GGGTATTCTGTGCTACTCCAAGCCTTGCTTTGCAAACTGTGCGACATTGAAAGTCTTTCAAATCATGATGAAAAAGGGCAATTAATAGTCTCTTAGAAGTCGTAGTGCAGGTATTGCCAAAACGTCAACTTAAGGGAATCGAATTTTGTTCATGAATTGCATTACTAACCCACCGTTGTCGTACGAAATGACACACCACCAATTTGTTATAGACACTGTTTATATTGGCTAGATTAGCTGGAGAGTTTTTTGCGCACATATGTCTTAGATTCCTGCTGTCGAACACTTTAAGTGTTGATGACTCTCGTACAAAACTTACGTCGCTACAGTTTTTGGGAAGAATTATAAATTATGAATGCCTTTGAATCAGCAATCGAGGAGGGCTATTTTTCGGGAAAAAAACTTGAACCACGATTTACATTCTGGCACACATCCGCACGCTCTTTGTTCACGATGAGATCTTCCAAAAATTGAAAGCAGATTACTAGTGGTAGTACCACAATCAACATGATTATGGTATATGCTACCATATGCATATTATTTTTTGGAGGTCATTTAAGTGAACATTTTTTAGGCGGCTGTTGGAGGCCAGGATTATTGACATGGTAACGTACATGTAAATAATTCAGGATAATCATGGTTGCAAAATCTATCTTAACTAAGTAGCCATATGGGGAAGATTCGCGAAGATTCGACAAGATTCGTTGAGGACGAGAAAGATACGAAACGTGGGGCTATCCTTTAACCAAGATTTAATCCTGTTTGGTCCAGGACTCAATCCTGGAGCACAGGAATGTGTTCTAATGTATGGAACATTCTCCATGATTGCTCATGATTGTGGCCATGATTTAATACTGGATAGTTGACTTGCTTTGTTTACAGCACTTCAAGAGCCATTGACGCGCGATGTGTGGATATGAGCAGGAGACAACGCTGAAGCAAAGCTGCTACAATGTAGGGACCACTATCAACTGCCATGAGTTACGTAAAAGAAGGAAACATGTATTCAATCATATTAAACTCGCCAAGGCATACGCTGCAGCTTTACTAATAGATTTAATGCGCGATCTGCGTCGATGGAACCTCCTCGTCGCTGCTCGGGGCCGGCGGGTTTTCCTCCTCGTCGCCTGCGTGAGTTGAGTCTGCTGCAGGGGCCCCTCGAATGGTAATAGACGACTAGTCAATAGGTAGAAGAATAGGTTGAAGCGGCGTCTCGTAAGCGACTTGTCGCTCGTGTCCACCGGGCTCCCTGGGACGACCTTGTGGATGAACATCCAGCACACATACACTCCATAGCTGTAGCCATCGAACTGGAGCGGGTTGTTTTGGGGGATCACGTCGTAGTCCTGTAATCCAGAGATCTTGAGATTTGTAGCGACATCAACCGCTGCGTTCATGTACGGACCTTGATTTAGAGGGTCGTAGAAATAGATCCGCTTCTCCTTCACTTTGATGACGACACAGCACCAGTGGAAGTTAGAGAAATTCAAAGTCACCATAACTGTGTCGATATCGGGTTCGTTGACGAATTGGAGAACTGATCCACGAACCGAAGCTTCAACTGGTTGATCATCCGTGTTGCGCGTGCGCTTCGACTTTGGTACAGCAGATTAAAACCCGGCAAACCGGCAATTTGGATAATCTTGCGATAGACGCCAGCATAACGCTCTATTGCACGCGTCATTCAGCCATGTCGGTGGTGTCGCCCTATGCAACATAGCGTACGGATAGTCTGAGAGGTTAGGAAGGCCTTGAATGGGCTTGTAGGGGTAAGTAGCCATTACTTCA